CCTTGTCCTAATACACACACTTGTGGTCTTTGCACTTGACCGCTTGACTACTTATATGACGCATTTCCTATATTTGGCCCAAGTGTTCAAGTGAGCATGAAGACCACAAGTGTGTGTAAAACTTTTCATTACCTGATGGGACACACTTATAGTGTTGTAAAAACGCAAATTGTTTACAGAGTTTTATTATTATTTTCAATACTTTGCATTTTAAAATCAACTTCTAAATGTCTGTTCAGTAGTCCCTATAGATGACACAATTTAATTAAGTGATAAAAAGCAGTTGCAAATGTTGTACAAAAATTAATATACTAATCTTTGCAGCAATAAAATGTGTAGCCGTTTGTTTTACTACCAAATTATATGTAATATCTTATTATTATTAATATTTAACTTACATTGGAAAGGTTTCCGTGACCTCTCGCGAGATCTCGGCAGAATATCAATGCTTCCTAGAAACATGCTGTCTTTAACATATATTGTCACTTCCACAAGCTCTTACAAAATGGACAACTTGTTGAGGTATGGCATTAAATACAACAGCATACTCTTTTGGCGTAACTGGAAAACCTAATTTATCCAAAAATTCACTATAAGACAATAAATTTCCATTTGAATTTCAAAGTTGTCTAACTAACACAATATCATTTTCATATCAACTTTTATAAAAGAGAGATTTATTTTTATATTGAATACATCTATTATTTCAAATAACATATTTATTTGGGGAAAAATTGTGCTTAAACACGAGCATCCAGGCCAATAAAGCTTGTTTGTGAAATTTAGCTAATTTCACAGGTAGTTTATCAATTTTAAAATCACATCTCAACAGAAGATCTATGCCACCCATCATGTCAAACACGTGTTTTGGAAATCTATACCACATGCATCATGAAGTTAATTAACCAATTAACCTTGAATGTATTGTTTAAAGTTTCAAAACTAAGCACAGATAATCCACCTTTGCCCTTTGGTTTACATAAAATGTCCTTTCTCAAATAGTGATGTCTATTCCTCCATACAAAATTAAATAACATTTTGTCTAATTCTTTGTACACATTATATGGCATTTCTAAAGCTAATGACACATAGACAGATCTTGATTTCCCCCTTGCTTTGGATAGTAAAACCTAACCATTCGGGGATAAATCTCTTTGAAGCCAGATATTAAATCTTGTTTTAGTTTTGTTCATTATAGGCTTGAAATTGAGCATAAAAGTCTATGAATAAGATAAAAGAATTATTTGGTATGTAACAATTGTACTCAATCATATCTAGAATTAACCTAATATTATTACTAATATGTCTCCCACTCATAAACCCTGATTGTTTTTGATGGACATGTGTGTCAGTAAAAACAACAGAAACGGAAACAACAAAAATGGACTTGCAGCTTCTTCTTCTGTGAGTTTATTGGCAGGTTGCAAACCAACTGGGAAGGTGCATACCGCCACCTATTGTACTGGAGTGTGACGAAGATGGAACACAAGGAAGATTTCTACAAGATTCAAGATTCAAGATTTTTTATTTGTCACATACATGGTTATATAGGGAATATATGACCAGCAGTGAAATGTAAGTCAGGTCCGCTCCATGGACAGTGCAATTATTAAAGAATACAAACTTATATTGTATAAATTATATATAAATATAGGTATGGAAAAAGTAAGATAAAAAATAAGAATAAAATAAAATGCGCAGGACAGTATACTGTAGACTTAATAAATATTAAGATGAGCAGGAATGTACAAGAGAAGAATGTGCAAACAGGTTGTACAGGGTAGTTACATAGCAGCAATAGGGGTAAAAAAGTAAATAAATAAAATATTACAGAAACTGCTGTGTGCAAGTGACAATGTCTGTATATTAAGTGTCATACTGATAATTAAGTGAAGTCATGTTGGTGTTAAGAGACTGAGTTTGAGTTTAGGAGCCTGATGGCCTGGGGGAAGAAGCTCCTCCTAAGTCTCTCGGTTTTTGCCATCAGGCTACGGAAGCGCTTACCAGATGGCAGCAAAATGAAAAGACAGTTACCAGGGTGGTTGGAGTCCTTGATGATTTTAACAGCTCTGCTTTTGCAGCGTTTGAGGTAGATGTCCTGTAGAGAGGGGAGAGCAGACCCTGAGATGCGCTCAGCTAAGCGCACAACTCTCTGCAGGGCTTTGCAGTCTTGACTGGAGCTGTTCCCATACCACACTGAGATACAGTATATTCTGTTCTTTAGACCGCTATTTCTCAAGAACTTCATTAATGCTGTAATTATTTTATTAAATTCTACTCCTGCCTTTAATATATTAAATAAGGTAAATTCCATAATACCCAAAGCTTGCTTTAGTTTTGAACTATTACCCACTGTGGCATTATTTTTTGAATTTTCTTTTAATATTTGTTGTAAGCTTGTATTTACAGATGGCTTTATAAATTTCCAGGGTGGTATCACTGATACTGCCACAGTGGGACTTATTTGCAACTGATTGAGACCTGCATTTTGTGCCAATGCGTTCATGATTCTACATAATTTAAATAATAGCCTACATGAAATATATAGTTTATGAATATTCCAAAATTCAGATTACAGTTTAACAAATAAGAGACTGTCATTGGACGCTACATCTTCTCATCCGAGAACCGTTAGGCCTAATCCCTTATGAAAATTAACCATGGTTTTACCAACCATGATTATAGATAAACCACGGTAACCACAAATTAACCGTGGTTTTGCTACACTAACCATAGTTTAACCATGGCATTTGAAGTAAAACTGTGGTTATACAAATGGTAATCAATAAGCCAAAAAACATTTACACTTTTACTATAATAAAACAATGGTTAATTTTCATAAGGGATGTGAAGCAAAGCTGTGAAGAATCAACTGTTGGTGATCGGCCCAAACAAAGACTATATCAGACATAATTTCCCGCTATGCATTTCGCTTCAGCGTTTGAGGGGGAAATCAAAATGCCAAACGGTGATGAAAAACACATTAACTGAGTGAATAAAAGGTTTTACCTTTGCAGTCATTGTCCAAAAGATCTCAAAAACATCATTACCTAACCCTATAAAACATCCAAGATTTGCCACTTAGTCACAAATACAATTCAAGTTTTTAATTGCCATTCAATTCCATTGATTTGTTCACATCACTGAGATGGCAGATACAAAGGTCCACTAGATGAATGGGAGGAAGATTTTAATAGGTCATGTATATTTTATATTATTAATAGGTCATAATAAATAATATTTACATTAATACAAAGTCATTAACAAATATCTCTCAGTGAGGTCACAGTGACTTCCGTTTTTGATGATCACGTCTCATAGTGGCCCCATATGCACCATCATGTAACAGCTGTCAGTAAAATAAAGCACAAACATATGCATTATGGGACATCACTCCTGACACATCTAGTTCAAATGGCATTATTATGTGAAATGAATCAATATTTACTGCAGTGTCTCTAGTTTATCTTTTAAAGCAGAGAGATGCCCAAAGAAAAGGGCTTTGGCATGTTGAGGGCCATGGCTAAGGTTACAATTGCTAAATATTATTAATATAAATACTATATATGTATACTGCATAGTATAAACTATGATCTTCCTTTAGTTCAGGATGTTTAGCTGCGAAACGTAAGATTTTTCTCGTCTCTTTGTGGCTTTTAGGAAAATCTAGAGATATGGGTATGATATATCAACTTTGCATGCTTCCATGAAGGAGAAAAGGAGGATCCATGAATCTATGAACACTACCTCAGTACTCTTGTTAGTTCTGCTAAATCAACACTGGCCTGTGTCTCCCTCTGTTGGCGGAAAAAGAAAAGATCAATAATTCGGTTTTATTTCTACATTGCTTCTGCGGTGAATAAATAGTAGGCCTACTACTTAATTGGGTTTGCAATATAGAAATTAATGTTCCTTTTTAACGTTATGCTTCAGAAAGCTGATGTTGCATAAAGGAAAAGTACAAGTTCAGAGTCAAATACCACCTGTAAGGAAATTATCAAAAATGTAAATAAATAAATAAATAACAGTGACACCTTCTAAGAAAAATCGTGCTCGATGCTTTTAAATAATCTTAGCATAATCACTACACATTCCTAAATCTCGATGCTTTTTAGAGATGTATTATTGGTGATTGTAAATACCAGAATAAATGGCTAAGGTTACAATTGCTAAATATTATTAATATAAATACTATATATGTATACTGCATAGTATAAACTATGATCTTCCTTTAGTTCAGGATGTTTAGCTGCGAAACGTAAGATTTTTCTCGTCTCTTTGTGGCTTTTAGGAAAATCTAGAGATATGGGTATGATATATCAACTTTGCATGCTTCCATGAAGGAGAAAAGGAGGATCCATGAATCTATGAACACTACCTCAGTACTCTTGTTAGTTCTGCTAAATCAACACTGGCCTGTGTCTCCCTCTGTTGGCGGAAAAAGAAAAGATCAATAATTCGGTTTTATTTCTACATTGCTTCTGCGGTGAATAAATAGTAGGCCTACTACTTAATTGGGTTTGCAATATAGAAATTAATGTTCCTTTTTAACGTTATGCTTCAGAAAGCTGATGTTGCATAAAGGAAAAGTACAAGTTCAGAGTCAAATACCACCTGTAAGGAAATTATCAAAAATGTAAATAAATAAATAAATAACAGTGACACCTTCTAAGAAAAATCGTGCTCGATGCTTTTAAATAATCTTAGCATAATCACTACACATTGCTAAATCTCGATGCTTTTTAGAGATATATTATTGGTGATTGTAAATACCAGAATAACTGTAACCGAGTTTCTCTCTTTTTCTCGAGACAGTTTCACATATTGGCACGTGTGCGGCAGCACTGACTTCAATGAAGGATTACACCTTTCTCAGTCACACTGTACGATTCAGACCACACGACGCGCATGAAGGAGAGATGCGATTGGCTGGACGCGGTTTGGAGGCGGGTTCAATCGTCCATTCCGATCGTCTCATTGGTCAGAGCGGTACAGTAGGTGAGTCTGAGCGTTAAACTTTTCTGTCCGTTCGGAGACGGAGACAAACAGCCAGGCTGTGTTTACTACACCGTTCTGCTGCTTTCCCTAAAGATATTCCAAAGAGCTAACATGCAAACGATTCAGAGACACTAGTTAACACAGGAAAGGTGAGTATATATTTACATAAGTGTGTCGTTGATGTCTTTTTCATGTGTTTTTCCTAAAGCGGAACCGCATTCCCACCTAGAAATACGCCTAACGCGCAACGACTGTGCTTTGTCTTCGTGATCCTTCAAGTCGTCACTCTTAACCGAGCATTTATTCTTGAATATATGCTTTTAATCCTCTGTTATGTGCTGTAATTTGACTGGATGCATGTGAAATGGGGTTTTTGCAGTGTGTCCTCCTCGCGCAGCTGTCACTACGGATGTTCGTGCGCTCGTGCGTCACGTGACTCATCGAGCTGCAAACTTCAGCAGCCTTTGTGACAAACATATCATAATCACCGAAGCAAATGAGCCAAAGCAGTCATCGAAGTCCTGCCTTCATTTATTATTTCTGAGAAATCTGAGAGATGAAACCAGAAAGCGGATTCAAACCATGTTTATCTTTGAGCAATAATTGCTTAAGTAAATAGCATACTCATTTGATGGGACTGCCAATTTTCATGTTAATCGCTGCGTAATGCATACTTTAAAAAGAATAGCATGCATTGCACACTGTAAAGTACACACAGTGTTCTGTTCTGAACACAGCCATGGTTAGTTTAGCAGGTTAACTGCTGCTAGATGTCAAAACCAGTGTTGGGGGTAACGCATTACAAGTAACGCGAGTTACGAAATCAGAGTACTTTTTCAAGTAACTAGTAAAGTAACGCATTACTTTTTCATTTACAAGAGACTATCTGAGTTACTTTTTCAAATAAGTAAAGCAAGTTACTTATTTTTTTCAAATTGATTGACAGCTCTCCTGTCCCCATGTTGAGAGAAATCAGATGTTACTGTAGTTCTAAAATAAATATGAATATGCATTAATTCATCTCACTCACAAAAGATTCAATATTCCTCAAAATGAATAAAAATAATGCAACTCAGAATATGACGCAAACCTGCAATAATTAAATGTTAAACAACACAAATATCCTTTATGCATTTAATAAAACAAAAAAGCAAGCCCTGTCCAGATTTAAAAAGTAACGCAAAAGTAACGTAACGCATTACTTTCCATAAAAAGTAACTAAGTAACATAATTAGTTACTTTTTTAATGGAGTAATGCAATATTGTAATGCATTACTTTTAAAAGTAACTTTCCCCAACACTGGTCAAAACTACACCATAACGTGACCTTTTCTACCCTGAAGACCATTCCAAATTGATCCATGCATTCTGACTTGATTATACATTTTTCAAGCAACATAAACATCCCAATAAATCCATTACAGGCTATTTTAGTAGATATTTTACCTACGATGGGCAGTTTTTAGCATGCACACAGGCTTGTTTTCCCTGCTTAGACTGCTGTAATAATAGTGACTCAATGGCAGCTAATAGCCTTTGACTATGGAGGTCAGTAGGCTAATGTCTGAACCTGCAGTGCTTTTTAAATACTCTTTTTCCATTGACGTACCAACCACGGGTTGATTAATCCCAGTACATTAATACAATTGTTTTGTATGACAAGTTTTCTGAAATTTAAATACGCACTAATCTGCATACACTTTCAGAACAACATCTGAACTTTGGATAAACCCAGGTTCAAAATTCTTGTTTTGTTGACATATTAAAGGCGTATAATATATGAACAAACCTATCTATAAAAGCGTTCAGGATATAGATGGGAATAAAACTGTAAAGTTTGCATGCAAGTGCTGTAGAAGTGGAGATTTCTGGCTCAGCGCATGAGAAAAAACTGCTTGCCTTTAAAGATATGTATTGTAACTTAAATTTACAGACACATAGAGAAAGTGTATTGTTTTCTTTTCATTAGTCTGAAAGAAGAAGTTATGGGACCAAAATAGCACACAATCTCAAAACTGACCAATGCATGAAATAAAAATGGTTTTTACCTGTAGTATGTTGCCTTAAAATAAAGAAATAAAATAAACTAGACAAAAAAAGTTTGTCGAGACAAACTTTAGGTTGGCTTGAGAAAACCTAGCCTGAAGTTTTTTTTAAAGTAATTGCATCAAGTGTATTTAAAATGCACTTTTTCTTTTTGGAATTTCACTATTTGTACTACAAAACGTCATAGAATAGTGCATAAGTACGCGATTTGGGACACACCTCTAGTTTATAAAAATTGCTTGTCATCTATATACTGTATGACCCTTGTGACCTTTACCTCTTGTTCTGCAGATGGAGGACGTGGCCGCAGCCTCTGTTCTCGCAGGCCCGTCCCAGCCCACGTTTTCCCGCCCGCCGGGCTCCGAGCGCCGGAACCGTAAGTCCGGCACCGCCAACATCTTCCAGGGCGTGAACCTGCGGCAGCTCCGGCGGCTCTTCCAGGCGGCGGGAGACCCAGACGCAGAGCAGAGGGCGCGGATGGTGTGGGGGAACCGCAGCGGGGCGGCCGGAGAGGACGGAGCTGACCGGGAGGAGGAGGACGAGGACGGAGCCGTGGCGGAGGTGGAGACGGGTCTGGCCCAGGCGCTGGTGGGACTCAGAGTCCGAGCGCGGAACCGAAGCGGCCTCAGGGTGGAGGCTCATAAAGACGGCACAGGAACACGATGGGTGCGGGCGTTCGGTCATCTCAGGTGAGACAGAGAGAGAAACGATTCTACAAAATCATTATTATCTACAAAATAAAGCCTGCTTTTGATTTTGTAAACTGTCACTTTGTAAACTGTAACTAACATCATTGTAATATTTGTGTACAGAATTGCAGGCACATTCAATTTTATATACATATATAAGTATTTATACAAAATTGTGGTATTTATTTACTGCCTGATTGCAATCGATCAAAATCATTATATTTTGGTATTTTTTGTAAAATTATTATATAGCAATAAAAATACTATAGTTCAGTAATGAGAATAACCTTTGAGAATGAGAATCACAAAAATTATTAGGTGAAAATCTGGCACAAAAATATTTGTACAAAATTGCAAATAAATAAATAAGCACTTTTTTATTCAAAACATAACTTTTTCCTTTGATTTTGGGGTGAAATGTGACTTGCATATGCTTTTATAGAATTTACCCTTGTAGATTTACTAGTGTTTATTCGGATGCACATGGCAGCTACACACACTAGCGTGTTGTGTGTGTGTTAATGGAAACATGCTAATCTAAACAAAAGGTCATGATTAGCCACAAACCTGCCACATTAAAGACCCTGTAAACAAACTAGAAAAGGCGTGGGTCTCATCCACCCACCCGTGAACATCAGATGTGCATGATACTGTAATTACATAGCATGTAACGATCTACATCTAAAAAGTGCATTCATCATTATGTAATCACCCATCAGAATCAACGAGGGCTCACTGGCACAAACGTCTGAAGTCATAACTGGAGATGAAGACAATAACGACAATGAAACTGTAACTAACATCATTGTAATATTTGTGTACAGAATTGCAGGCACATTCAATTTTATTAGCTATTTACTGAAATACAACCATGTGTTCAACTAAAATTGTGGATGGATTTTTTTTTTTTAAATGTCCAGGTCACATTATACCCCAAAATATAAAGATAAACAATTACATATTTTGCATAAAGCAAATTAAGCTTGAATCCTTACTTGTCATGCAAAAATAATAATGATATATAATTTATATTGGTATTTACACTATTCTCATTACTTGCAGTGCAAAATATATTTTTATATTAGTATTTATTAAAAAAATCACCTCATTCTCATTCCTTGCAATGCAAAAAAAATTTAAAAATAATATATATATATATATATATATATATAACTAATGATGATGATGCATCTGCTTTGGGAGCCTGTGGAGGGCAGAGCTCTTTTGAAGCTGGATCATGTGACCAAGCTGACTTCCTGCCCCCAGAGGAAGAGGCTCAGGGGCCCTCGGGCGGCCCCAGATGGAGCTGGAACGCCGTTCAGGAGAAGGACCCGGAGCGATACCTGCACCGGATCCGACACTGATGCAGCGGAGCAGTGCAGTGCATCCAATCAGATTCCTGCCTGAGAGACTCGCAGTCACTGTAGATTTACTTGAAGCCACCGCCTCAATCAAACGCTAGTCTTAATCGAGCAACGATCGACACTACAGCACCTGCAGCGGCCAGGAACGCACATTAACAAAAATCCCGCAGGATTACAGTCCTGTGAAACTTTAACACATTGTTTACCGGTTTGTGACATCCTCAGACCTGATGGTCTACCTTGCACAACAGTCGAACACTATTATAGGGATAGTTCACCCAGAAATTTCAGTTCTGCCTCATCTACTCATCCTCATGCGTTACAAACCCCAAAACACTTTCATTCTTGTGCAGAGCAAAAAAAGATGCTTATGCTGCTCTTTTCTGACAAATATGAGTGAACTGAGGCATTTGAGCTCCAAAAATGACAAAATCATCACAAAACATTTAAAAATACAGCTCATTTTTTGGGCTGAATCTCATAATGCACGTAAAGAACATTTCCCATATATATACCCCAAAATCAAAAGATTAACAATGAGATGTTTCTTTTACATAAAGCAAATGACAACAAAACACACTGTCATATCTTGCAATGCAATAAGGATACATTATCTATATTGGTAAAGTATTTATACTAAAAAACAAACCTAATTCCCATTAAATGCATTGCAAAAATATTAATGATACATTACCAAAAAAATTCAAATAATTATTATACATTTATTTACATTTGGTAAAACATTTATACATAATAGTGGTATCTGTTTGCTGTCTTTATGCTGATAAAATCATTGTATTGCAGTATTTTTTTTTCTATAATACAGTAAAAAATATTGTATTTCAGTAATGAGAATCACCTTTGAGCATGAGAATGATAAAAAAACTAAAAATATTGGGTAAAACGAAAAACAATTTTCCTTTTGATTTCAGGGTGAAAAGTGACTTGATTTGGTTGGATTCACCCAAGTAGATGTATTTCAGTGAATGGAGGCAGTTGTACTTCGAAAAAATGATCCAAAAAAAAAATCACCACCAAATATGATTATGCACTATATTCCAGGTTATATGACTTTAGACGGTTTGAAAAACAGTGCATGAGTCATATAGACTATTTTAAGCAGCTTTTTTGGTCATTTTTTGTATCCGTGCCTATTCACTATCATGTGTTCATTGTAATTATTTCATACTGAAAAGAGAAAATCATACAGGTTTGGAACAACATGTGGGCGAGCAAATGACAAGACTTTCATGTTTTGGGTGATCTGTTCCTTTAAATGCAATGATTTAAGTCTCATCGAAGCTTCCAGAGCCACTATTAGCTTGTGTTTATATGAATGTACGCGGCCGAAGAGTGCTGGGTTTCTATTATTTAATGATATGTGCTTGTATTTTGTTTTTGAAACACTAGTTTCTCAGTAGTTCTCCTTTTTTACGGGAGCATTTTGCCTTCCAGTGGTGTTTAAATGGTTAATATCTAAAAATATCAAAGAATGTATTAGCATTTACTGCAACACTGCAGTTCTCATCAAACCATTAGTGTTGTTTTAGATACAAATAATCTGTGGTAATATGTAAATGATAGTATTATCACCTGTAGAAGTATGCTGGACACTATTAGTGCTGATTATTTAATGTCTTCTTCTGTCACTCAGACAGACATTTAGAAGCAATATGGAAGAAAACATGTAGCCGAAATCAGTAAACACTACTACATGCACAAGAACAAGTTATTTTATTCCCTTGTGTTTAAGCTGGAACTTCCAATTAAACTGTTTTTGAAATAAAACTCAAGTCTGTTCCTTTTATTGAGTTCTGCACAGTTATAGTTTTAGCATCTTTCATTAAATACATTACATACAAATTATACAGTCCATTGTCACGTTTTAAGGTCAGTTTTGTTGACACCTGTGAATACATTGTTAAAAAAAAATTACAACATCTTCAATTTTCAAATGAAATCGAACAATGAACAAAAGAACAAAAGGAACGATGTCACTACGAGAATGGAACGTTCAGTGTTTCTGCACGCGCTCAGTTGAGCGCCAAAGTGACTCCGCCTCCAAGTTACGAACGCCAAACAGGTGAGCGTAAAAAAGTAGAAAAATATCATGCTAATGGACAAAAAGCAGGAGAAAGTGTGACTTTTCAACGATTGCGAGAAAAAACGCAACTAACACACAAGTGAGGCAAGAAAACCCTGACCAGAAAACGCTTATGAATGATATAGTTGAGCAGTTCCAGAGCAGTCAAGCATCAAGGTTTCACTACAGCAGAAAGTTTCTCCTTCATCGTCTTGTTGACTCGACATGCAGGCCATTCTGAACGCGGCTTTGTGTGTTCATAAAGTGTAACAGTCAACAAGGCAATGCTTTCCTTCAGAATTATGTGTTCGTCATCAGTTATTCCTACTCTCTTTGTTCCCAAAATCCCAGTGAAAAAAACGCAACTAAAACCAGGCTGTAACGTTACTTGTGCATCACCACCAGGTGAAGAAGGGTCTTCTGCTCTGGAAGCTCTGCGTGTAGGATTCGCTGTTGGCTCGCTGCGGCGCTCGCGCCGTCTCCACGATCACCGGCGGCATCTGCACCAGCTGCAGCGGGGTCTTGCCCTCACTCAGCGCCTGACTCAGGTTCAGGATCTAGAGCAACGCAGGGCAAGAAATGAGCTGAACGATGCCAAATCATAGGGTGGTTTTCATTCAACTTCCCTGCTCTTGTTGGTCTCTTTTCGCTTCAGCGTGAAAATGTCTTAAGGTAACGTCTCATAAAGAAATATCTAGAATCAGATCTGCTCTGCGAATGTCAAGCAGCTTCGAGAAATGAGTTGCTGGAAATAATCACCAATAGAGGTTCATTGTTGCAAACTGTTCCAGTTGTGAATCATATTAAAGTTCACATGAACCCTTTCCCCTTTTGAAAACCTCGAAGGACATTTTCAATGTTTAAATAATATATTGTGTCCAAATAACCGGGCTGAGCGATAGCATTTGGTCAAAATTTTTAATCACAGTATTTTCCCCCATATCATTCCACATGTTTGCTAGACCTCAAAAATGACTGTGAACATGTAAACTCCACAGAGAAACCAATTTAGGGCCCCAATTTATTTTATTTTTTATACATTTTTTGCCGGAGTCTGTTTTTATGCTTTAAAACATTCATCAACATCAAAATTGTGCGTAATGAAATTAATCCTTAAAACTTCATGTTTTAAAATGTTGATTAATGTGTTAATCAAAGGAAAATATAACCATTATTTTACAACAGAACACTGCATTTCTATTTTTGTCAAATAAGATTCTGCACATCAGAACTTATTGTATTGTATATTATATGCATTAAACATGGACAAAAATATCTTAGTTTCATTATATTAGTCAAAATTATTATTATTTTGAGTACAATTTACTATACAATTGTAATATACTGTCACAATTTCAAGTTAAACCGAACTTTTATTTTGTCAGTTTGTCGTGAAGACCTTTTGAGTTTTAGTGTGAAAGCTTTTCACAAATGAAACTGAAATGCTCATGAGCACCTCTGAAGATGTAGGCTAAATATCAAAAATTAATCAAAAGTTTATTATCGACATTTACAGATGTATTTTTTTTGGTGAATATCAATATTGCATAGCCCTATCATATAAAATATCGTAATATTATAATGCAGATTTGTGCTTTTAGTCTCTTTAAACACAAGTATAATCTAGTCATTAATGACTCACCTGCCCCCTCATTACTGAGACCTGCTTCTTGAACTGTCCTCTGTCGAAACCCGGGTCTTTCTGTCAGTGTTAACGTAAATATTATTAAATCAATACCAAGCATTAATTTCATGGAATATAAGTCAAACATACTGGCGAATACCCAGCTGAATTTCAAAGTGATCTCATGCGACTCACCTTAAAAAGCTCATATAGATCTTCCTCAAGGTCTTTGATGAAGTTTGGGTCGGATAATTTGGGCAGAACTAATTCTCGGATCTCTTGGGAAAACGCAACTCTAGCCTGTGGCAGCCAAGCCCAGTAAAACGGGTCTACAGGACATACAATCAACAAAAAGATTGAACTGACCGTGCAAAAAACTACATCAATTGAAACAAAACACCTCAAAATAAATGATGTTGCAATGATGACATTTGAACCGTTATCAAGAATATAGCGATGTGATTGGCCAGTAGTTGGTCATGTGTTTGTGAGGTGAATGATGATTGGCTTACAGGCTCTCCATGAATCCGGGTGTTTGAGAGGGAAGGCCAAGCCATTGTCAATGGCTGCCAGTTTAATGATGGGGTCCTTCACTACCACCCAATCACTGTCCTGCATGAGAAAAGCATTCGATAAACATGAACATAAAAACACAAACTGGGACAGAAAGTCTCCCAAAAAGAAAAGAAACCTGCATCTGGTCACTTACCCGGTTGCTTGACGTATCCATCGGACAGTCATATTTGATGAGCCAGTTGTCATTTCCTCGATCTACAGATCCATACAACAAATAATAGTTGTTCAAATAAAGACAGTATATATATAGTGTTTTTGGCCATTTCGTTTGACCTTAATTCTGTTGCTTTCCGTGGTTACCTGTGTTTCTGATGATGTAATCCAGCACCACCAGTCTCTCAAACTGTAGCAGGAGTTGGCGATTAGTGTTTTCTGGTAAAGGCTCCGCCTCGAACCGCCGGAGCCAGAAATCGGCGTCTTTATATCCCTCTACGAAGAGCTGGAATGAGCCCACCTACAAACAACCAATAGAAACCAGTTCACAAACCTACAACAACCAATAGAAACCAGTTCACAAACATACATGGCCAATAAATGTTTATAAACATGCAAAACTAATTTTTCAGCAGCTTTCATTTAGAAATGTATCACATTACAAACTTTGAAACAACAATAGTGTTTGTAAAGTTACAACAAAATCTTTTATTAGTAAATAAACTACTCATCCCATTTGCGAATGGTGAGATCAAATTAGCCATGATGGTAAAATTGCTTGTTATGAGTAAATAAAAGAAAGCTTATATTATCGTTCAACAATGTCAGAGCTCATGGCAGTTATGTCTTGAAAGATTTATAAAGTACTGCTAAAATTTAAGTTTCCTAATAGGAATTAATGGGAAATTAATAGGATTTTTACTTCTGAAACCATACCATTGTGCTCTATAGAATTTCTAAACCCAGGGTTATTATAATAACTAAAACAAAAATCATTAAAAGACTTAATTAAACTTGAAATAAAATAAATGTTAAATATAAATTTATTTTAAAATGACATTTCAATTTATTTTAAAATAAATAAAATATTTAAATAAAAACAAATTCAAATTATTATTTAAAACTAAAATTGCATCTCAATAATACTAAAATAACACTCTATAAACCTACAACATCTAAAATGTCTCCTCTTCCTCCAGGCAGAGAGGTGGCGCTGTCATAAACCTTACCTTGGGCGGCAGGCCAATCCGGTGGAAACGCTGGCCCACCTTGGGCACTTTTTCTAGCGCTAACCTCTTTCCTCGAGACTTTACTCGGTCGATGGCGCTGTAATTAAACGTCTCACTTGATAAATACACAACCTGAGAGAAAGAGAGCACAGATAACGCTTTATATAGGACATGTCTGTCAGCAGTCAGTGATAGAGATGGTGTGGGAGTGTGAGGTA